TGTCCCTCCACCCTCCCAAGCATGATGTCCCTCTCTAAGGACCGGTCTCTCCTGACAACATGTCCAAATTATGTTAGACAGAGCCTCAGAATCCTTGCCTCCAAGGAGCTACCCGGTTTAACCCTTTCCAGGACAAATCTGTTTGTTTTCCCAGCAGTCCATGGTATTCTCAATACTCTTCTCCAGCATCACAGCTCAAAGGCATCAATTCTCCTTCTATCCTCCTTGGTCATTGTCCAACTCTCTGATGCATAACAAGTGATTGCGAAGACCATAGCCTGTATCAGATGCACCTTAGTATCCAGAGAGACACCATTGTTTTTAGTTGACATCAAGCCTGCTCCAGTTCATGGCAACTTTATGTGAAACAGAATGAGCTTTCCAGTCCCATACTCTCTCATGATCTTTGGTGTGTTCGAGTTTGTCAGTGTGGCTATGTCATTGTGTGACACTAAACATTTCCTTTCTTTACTTTTAAAAAATTTATTATTAATTTCAATGAAAATTTATAGAGACTTTGGATTTCCATTCATTCACTGTTGTACTTTTCTCCTCTCCCAACCCTCCCCCCTAGTATACTACCCTGTTGGAAAAGTAAAAGAAAAATTCTTTCATTGTTTTACAATCCCTACCCCCAGGTACTAGGGATATTATAGCTAATGTAAGATGGATCTTGGCAGAAAGCAAGGAATACTAGAAAAATGTCTATCTGTGCTTCATTGACTATGCAAAGGCTTTTGACTGTGTAGATCACAACAAGCTGTGGCTGACTCTGAGAAGAATGGGAATTCCAGAACATTTGATCATGCTAATGCGAAACCTATACTTGGACCAAGAGGCAGTCGTCAGAACAGAGCCGGAAGACACTGGATGGTTGAAAATCAAGAAAGGGGTCCATCAGAGATGTATTTTGTCTCCATACCATTTCAATCTGTATGCAGAAGAGATCATCTGAGACGCTGGGCTGTACAAGGAGGAATATGGCATCAGGATTGGTGGAAGAATCATCAACAACCTGTGTTGTGCAGATGACACAACCCTGCTTAATGAAACGGAGGAGGACCTGAAGTGCTTGCTGTAGAAGGTCAAGGACTGCAGTCTTTAATATGGACTGAGGCTCAATATCAAGAAAACATAGATTCTCACCACTGGGCCGATTGGCAGCTTCAGTATGGACGGTGAAGAGATTGAGATAGTTAACAGTTTTAGTTTGCTTGGCTCCACAGTCAACACTCTTGGTAATAGCAGCCAGGAAATCAGGAGATGAATTGCATTGGGAAAGTCAGCTGTGAGGGACCTCTCAAGAGTACTGAAGTGCAACGACGTCAGGCTGGAGACTAAGGTGCG